GTCCAAGTAGTTAAAAACATCTCCCGTTATTTACTTCTTTTACAATTCATTAACAAATGCTGATTATATATATTACTATAATCAACATATCAACGACTTTAAAATTGAATAATCTACAAGATATTGAATATCAAAAACAATGTCAATTGACATAATTATTGCATTATAGATTTCACCAGTTAATAGTTTAATATGATAATATTACATTTAATTCAATATTTCTTGCAAATCCATTCATAAAATTGTGAAATCATTTCTTCATAACTCCGTAGAGCTTTAGGTATAATAGACAAGGGACTTGACTTTTAAATTAAAATAAGATATGTATCAATTACACACATAATTATCCTTGACTATACTCCATTTATCAACATGACTACTCCGTAGAGCTTTAGGTATGATAGACAAGGGACTTGACTTTTAAATTAAAATAAGATATGTATCAATTACACATATAATTATCCTTGACTATACTCCATATATCAACATGACTGATAACACATCATTAAAACATTGTGCTAAAGTGAAGATATGTAATCACAATATCAATTTTAAAATACTACTAACCTCATACTAGTCATTAACCTTGACTTTTAATGTATGTATCATAACTTAGTTTACTTGAAAATATATCAACAAGTTGTTCAGTTTCATAGTACAAAAAAAACATCTGCAATAAGGTTATAACATATATTATAAAATTCTAAAAAATCAACCGTATTTTCAGTATATTTAAAAATAATATTGCATTTTAGTATGAATTGAAGATCTACTTGGATGTATTTTTGAAAAAATTAATGTCATCATTTCAATGACTATAGTTTATGAGTGTTTTAAAAATTGAACTCAAAAATAAATCAAAGTTTCATCAACACACAATTTTTTTTTCATACATGCACCTTATTAATTTTTTTACACGTATATAATAGTTATTGTTAAAATATTGCCTTAATCTAATTTATGAAAAAAATTATAAAAAAATTACACTATGACAAATGACATATTTATTTTTTATATGTAAGCTATGCATATAATTTATCTTGTAAAAAATGACTAAGTCATAATACAAAAAAATGCAAAGCTTTGATGATGATCATCAAATATAAGCAGTTAATTTTTATTCTAAAATAAAAATATATATGCAAACCAAATATTCATTCATTCTTCACGTTCAAAGTAATTATTCACATATGATGATTATCACAACACCGTATATGATCATACTAGAAACCATATATTTGCATGAGTATAGTCTATTTGACGTAGTCAACTTATTAAGTCAACATTCAGCAATGAATATCAACATTTTTTTTTTCAAATCAACACATATCATGCTTGTCTCCAAAGTGCGCATAATTATTATTTTTCCATATTTGTTTCGTGTAAATATTTTCAAACTTGTAATTGTATACGATTTTTTTAAATTACTTGCACAAAATCTTTTCATATTGATTTGTGCTATTGTATAAATTGAGTTATATCAAAAACACAATATTTTAACCATAGTAAATAATTCAAATTTTTTTTGGATTAATAAATTCACACATCAAACAAACTTCTTTTAAGAACTAAATTTCTTTTCACTTATTAAGTATTCAATGTGTATGTGTGTATATATATATAAATAATTTTTAAACCTTATCTTATGTGAAAACATCTTGCTACCTCTGAGTCATAATTCAAAAAATTACAAAAATTGGAGAATAGTAATCAATTAACATGATTGAGAAAAATTTTCAATATTAAATTGTTTTTTTTCCATGTAGTCATTGTCAATTTGTAGCCAACTCAAAATATCCATACATTTTTTACAATCATAAGTATAATGATAGATTTCTTATCACATTAATCATATTTTTTAGGGAAACATAGACAATACTTAAATTTCATAAAGATTTACTTTTTCTAACTTAAACATTAATTCATAATTATAGTACCTGAAATTGAAAAATTCAACAAGATTAATTTATTTCAAATATTGTGTTTTTAAATGTCTCATATTTACTTCCCATTCATCTTATTTTTATTGCAACTAATAAGGAAATGCGTTACTATGACAAAGTAAGAAAAAAAAAATTGGCGTTGATCAATTGTAGAAAATGACATATTCATTAGATGCCGTTTCTTTGTAATGTTTATCTTAAAGTTCAAAACACATCATGAAGATGCATATCAAACATTTAGGCAGCAGAATTTATACTTTTTACTATAAAATCAAATCAGTAATTAAAAAAATCATGCGTTTTTTATTCATTTACAATATGTCTTAATAATCCAATTATTACAAAACATATAATTTCATTGTGTGGATTGCTAAAAAAATAATTTTATGCAATTCAAATTTTTGAAGTATAAAATCATTATTAATGATTTTATACTAAGTATATATTATACTTTACTTTACTTTACTAGCTTATACTATTTTATACTATAAGCTAAACAATATGAAAGAAAAAAGTAAGATTGGAGAGAAAAATCAAAATTCAAATTGGATGTCGCATTGAGAGCATTTTAAGATCATCATTAGGATCAACTCAAGACAATTTTTCCACAGTTCAAAGAAGTGAGCTGCATGATGCTTGTTTAATGATGTGTTAAAATATCTTGCGTTACAATGGATAATATTACAAAAAATTATATATTTTACATCAATATCATTGCAAAATCTAATTTGATGCATCCAAATTACTTTTAAAATTTATATTTCACGGTTAATGACATGAATGATGTGAATTTTTTTTAATATTAGTTTTAATAATAGGAAAAAAAATATGAAATGAAAAAAAATCTAATCAATATCATAAAATCATGTAAGTGAAAATTTCATGTATGTTTATTCATCAATAAATTCTTTTTATTTGTAGGTATATTTTCATTTTTTTAACTAGAAAAAATTGATATTTTTTATAAGATTAGTGATATGCACAACACATGTATTTTGTAGTTTCAGAAATCATTGTTAATCAAAAGTAGCTTTTTATTTTTATTTTTTTCAAAAAGAATTGAACTTGCTATATTATTTATACTTTATTCAAGTTTAAGAGTACTGTATGTATGTGATGTGGTAAAACAATGATTATTCAATGATCAATATGATATGAGAAAGATTTATGAAACTTATAATTGTACATTCATAATTTATGAATATTAACTTTAATGTAATGTTCTTGTTGGCCTCATGCTCTCATAACAAATCTTGATAATATACAAATCAAAAATCATGTGTCTATATCTCTTTATGAATGTCACATAATCAAAGCATTAAAAGATTTGGCTTTGGGCTATGGTTTTTATAAAGTTTTTTTTTGTTCAAAACTATATATTTGCAATCACCTCTTCTTGATTGAGTTAGTTATGAACACATATCAACTTTTTTCATGTTTTCAGTTAGATGAATTTCAATTTCAAAGACAGAAGTATATATTTTTCATATCATAAGTAAAGTATAGGGAAATCATTTGCAATGATTATGACGCTTACATTGATATTAGTGAACACATTTTCAGTTGACTTCTGAAATTCAAATTCGTAAACTTTCAAAATATGTCGTAATTGAATAATTATATATATTTTAACCTAATCTCATTCTTAGCATTTCTTACTACTTCAAAGAATTATGTATATTCTCTTTGATTTAGAAATGTTTTTTATATTGAATCAATTCATTTCATTTCATATTTGAAACTCCGAGTTTTTATAGTGAGGATTCTCTTACAATTCTTTCACTCTAATAAATACTTCTTCGTGCAAAGGGGGTGTTATTTATTATAAACAAATCATGACTCTAGGCAAATGAGCAAGTTACAATGACATTACTTTTACTCCATTGCCATTTAAACTCCTATTTGGTATGTACACCGAATTACAGCGTTATCACACCAGTCACCTCAAACCCCGGCTCTCGTATGGTCAGCTGCACAGCAATTACGAAAGAGGTTTGACGGGCAGAGTGAGTTACTCGGTTCGCTTGGAGAGGAAAGAGCCGTGGTCGCAGTGCAGAGGACGCCATGGTTGGCAGGAGGGGAGCCGCAGTAGACTATGAGTCGAATGCTGGAGTACTTGAATTCATGGCAGCGATGCCTTCATCGTCTTCTCTCGAAGATTTTGTTCAGTAGCTGCTCCTCATTCAGCTCTTCGTTTATCTTTGCTCCGAGAGTGTTGAGCATACTTGGAATCTATTGTACTCATCAAGTTTTCAGGACTTTCAACTAACAGTTTGAGTGAAGTGGGACAAGGCAAAACCTGACGTCTCCGGTTTTAAAAGTGCTGAAGAATTCAAGTTTTCTTCATGCGATTCAGGCCCGCTATAGAGTTAATGTGTATCCTTTCCGGCCCGTCCCTTCAGCCCATAAATTTTTCCGAAGATCGTAGCAATTAATTTATAAAAAAGTATAAAAAACTTCTAATTTGCATCCAGAACTCTAAATAGCTGTAAACTGAAGGCCATGAGATTCCAGATCTATGCTCTAAGGAATTTTGTGGCACAAAACCCTCGAGGACAGTGCACTCGAGTAACTGGCAGGAATTCTGGGCCTAGCGATGGTTAGCAAATATAAAATTTCTACCAACGTGACAAGACAATCCCAGTCTCAAGTCAGGGGAGCTGGCTGACAGTAAGAAAGCTCCTGGTGACAGTCAATTACATTGCAGTAACTTTACGTCGTCCAGTGATAGTCCAAGAAGTTGACAAATGTTGATGGAACTGCAATCCCACTTTCAGCTCCATTTGCAGTCTCTTACTCTTTCGATATGACAGAGTTACCACGTGTTTACGAGTCAAAACCATGAACCATGCCATCTCATGATACAGACCAACGTGGTAAAATGCAAGCCCAATCTTCTTGAACCCCTTTCGGGAGCATGCCATTCCTGATATCCATAGAAACCATAACTACTGATTATCACAGTTGGATGAGACGACTTTTGCCTGGCTAATGTTGTGTACTTGTTCTTCGAGTGGTAATTGCCAGTAACCAAATGTACGCAACAACAACAGCCCCGTGCCTTGTAAAGAGTGTTGCTACAAAACTGAAGAAAACTATCATCAAAGTGAGCAAGCTAGATCGCCATGCTGCTCGTACATACATATGTGGATCAAACGTGGACTTAAAGACAGTAAAAGTATTTTTATTGAATCCAGCATTCCACCGACACCGCTAGATGTTATTTGCGTCAGAAATAAATGAGACCAACCAATGGGTTGTACAATTGTATACCCAGTAGTCCAGGCACTTAGACTTCCTGTGCTCAACTCGTGAGGAATAACTTGAACGGTGGCAAATGTGACTCCATCCTCAGACAAGCATTGACACTGTTTGAAACGAACAGTGGCAATGCCTGTGGACCCAGACCATGCAGCTCGTGCTGAAAAAGCGGCCTAGAATACGCTATGACTTGAGAAGGACTCATTCTTCAGGTGAGCCTTCAACATTGAGGGCCTCCATCCCCACCTACCATTTTCTCTAGCAAGCTAGTTGAACCAAGATTGCTGAAATGGAAAAACTGTAGACATAGAACCGGCTACTAGTGAGTCGGCAGACACAAAATCGAGTCGACTATACCAGTGTTCTCTAGGAGTCCTTAGCCCACCAGTTATACCTTATGCAAAGGGAAGTGTTCTAAACTATAACTGCCGTACTTCAGTGCTGCAACCACAGAGTCTGATCATAAGTGCTCAGTCTTAGTTCAAGCTAAAGGAATTGAACGAGATGATACCCATTAAAGTGAGTCGTTTTCGGTGTCAAATCATGATCCTTAGCTACGAGGAACGTAGCGAACATTGTTGTATTCACAGATGGCCTGTACAAGATTTTAGAAGAAAAAATCAGTGCCAATTTGAATCTCAATGCAACTCGAAATTGATTTCTAGCCTTCAGACAATGATCGATACGTTGAACGATGTATCTTGTAGGGCTGAAAGCTAACGCCACCGATGGCGAGTTTATAACGCGACGAGGACAAAGCATCTCACGAGCAGAACACTTTACGCAGGTCCATGTCTATACTGAAATCCAGGTCGTGCATCTGTGAGGACTTGGAGGTGAGAGAAAAGCTAATCAACAATTTCACTCAGTAAGCTTTGACGTACCGCCATTTCTTCCGGAAGCAAGCCAGTGACGGACAGAGCGTAACAGCCAGGAACAAACTTGCCTATAAGAAGAAACGAGAGATAAATCAGAATCTACATGACAGATTCTCAAATCCAGGCGTAGAGCTTTCGATTGATTCTGAATCGATTAATCAATCTTCTGCTTCATCCATTTTTAGGACCTTCACATAAGTCTATAAACGAAAAAGATTGAGAATCCTCATGTGCCAGAAGGTCCAGAAACTTCTCGCTGTACAAGAAGACGGAAAGTCAACCGTAACTCTTATCTCTCCAACTCATTAATAGTGGATAACCACACAAGATGCGAAAGATCAGAGGCGCTCTTACTTATTCTCTGCCAGCGTGCCGCCCAGCTGCTAGTAGGATCCATTGAAGCTATGACACTGCATATAAGCCGCAGGCACCCTTTTGATTAGAATATGTCAAGAGGTACTGATTCTGAGTTACCATTTATCTGAGATAAATGTATATCAAAGGAGACTTTCCAGAAGTTATCCGACATAAACGCAATAATTAGCTACTAAAATCGAAGAACATGTTCATAATTAGGTGACCTAGGAAGAAAAAGTTACTCCAACAGAGCCAGCTATGTATGTATAGTATGCTGGCTAGATTCGATCTGATATGTGCAGATTCCGGACGCTGGATGAGAGACCAAACATGAGTACATTTAACAGAAAACTTACCCTGCAAAGTTGGGCGTAGTGCAATCAAGCACCCTATCATTGTCTTGATCCATGTTAAAGAATGGACAATTCTCACATCCGACATCTGTGAACTAAAGAGTCCAAGCCAACAACTACAGTGAGTCAAAACACTGAAGAATTCAGCTTTAGCAAATAAAGAAAGGATTAAATCTCAATTCTTGAGTGCATTTCTTAATGTTGGGCTTCTTGATCCGCCTCCGTGATCCGCGATGACAAATTAGTAATCCGGCTGGTCAAGTTACACCCGCATGTCTGAGGATTCTGTAGAAGAATCCGGTCAGCTGCCAACTCCCAAAAATGTGATTTGCAGTCGCAAGTTATGTAAATAGGTGAGAATGACCTCCAATATTATTGATTCCCTTGTAAGACATACAGCGTGAAACAATTGAGTAAAACTGTACACGATGCGAAACCTTGATTTGCCAAACACCTTCAAGCAACCTCACGCCTCGGTTAAAAACATACTCAAGCGCTTGCAAATTCGTTACTTAGCTTTGAGTAATATCATGTGTGAAATCAGCTGACTCTGTGCTGTGAAGATGCGCAGGCCTGCTGGTAGAGTGTTCGCAGGAGACGCGTTAAGACTGTTGTATCTGAATGAATCACGACTTGAGGGTCCAGTGAGGCTATCACAAGAAGCATGCAGGGGATCAACCTGACACCCGATCTTAGGGGCACAGATACGTATATTATATACATATTTTAAGAGAACTGATACTCCATGATAAACGACAGAACAAGAGAATGAGAATGGAGGTCCTTCAGGTTAAACCGCCTCAGCTGAGAACTTATGCTCGTTACCTTCCGCCAGTGATGCCCACAGGCTCAAGAAGTAAGTGAAGGTGAACAGGCCGAACGATCCAAAGCGAAACCATGATAAACTCGTATGCAGTAGTACCTTGCCCTTTGCTGATAGAAAAAGAAAGGACAGGTAAAAAGAATACACATCTAATGGATTTTGTGGCAGGGAGGGCCGAGCAGCACGATGCGAGCTGGGTTCCCAAAAGAAAAAAACATCCAGATAGCAGAACCGGCTCAACGAGCTTACATGAACCTCAGCAATAAGAATAGAAGACAATAAATACACTACATTTCGTGACAATAAAGAAATAAATCCAGACTCAAAACAGGACCCAACACTTGAAATCAGCTGCACAAAATCCGTCACAGCTCAGTATTAGATGAAAAATAGAATTTCGAATCTCTGAAGGAGAAAAAGGTGCGGACATCGCTTGCTTGCACCTGCTTGTAGGTCTTGACGAGGCTGCATCGAAGGCATGCTCGAAGCTCCTTTCCAAAACTGGTGGGAATCTGTGCAGCAGATTGAGTCCCCATCACCCTGACCACCACAAATCCACTCACTAACCACGGCAAATTCGATCGGTTCAACAGCCCCCGAGCTGTCACCGCAAGTGGAGTTTCTTTCTCTCTCCGGCCTTCTTTCCCGCTCCTCCCGGATTCGAACCGACAGTCGCCGCTGGGAATCTGTCTTTTTCGGAGCCTTTGCAGCGCCCGCCTCGTTCTCTTCTTTCAAGTCAGCACGGTACGACGTGGCAGGAACCGCGTACGTGGCGACCTCTGAACACTTGGCGCGCAGGGTGAAACCTACCGTCAGCATTTGTGCTGCTTTCGCGGCACATCCACGTGAGATCGCCGCCCCGTCAGAGCCGTGGTTGAGCAGTCTTTCCTTCATACGGTCCACTCAGTCGAGCATGTCGACGGTGTTGGTCTATTTTTAGCTGGGAGTGAAAGCCGGACGCCCAGAAGCCACAGACTTGCCTTTCATTCATTTATGGTCTACAGATTTTAGCTCCATGGCAGCATCAAGCTCGTAACAGATCGGGCCTTTGGAGCCCCTGGCCGGCTCTCCCTTCACACTCAACCCGGCAAAACCACGCCTACCACAGTCACACTGTGTGATACTGACTTTCCTGACACCGACAGATTTGGATATGGTCCCTCAAGGACTGGGAACTTTGGCGGATGGGGTAGAAAGGACTCCACTAGTTTAGATATGTCATCCCTTCACCTGATCCCGCGTCCTCAGCTGCACTTTTCTGTGGAGATTTCGTGGCCCTCCGAGACCAATCCTCAATTCATATGTTTCTCGAGTTACAGAATTTTAGACTCAGGCACTTGGAAAAACAAGGACAGATAGAAAATACTGCACGCACAGCTACTCGCTGAATGCAGTGTCTGCTGTGCTGGGGGAATTTTAGAACTGACGTTCACCTCGACTACCACGATTTGAGCAGACTATGTTGGGAAAATATCGTGGAACCTTATTATATTCAAGTTCAGCAAGAGGATGGTTTGATGCGGCTTGTCGGGTGTGTTGATTATGACTTTCTACAGTTGAGGGGTATGATCAGGTTCGATGTTTCCATGGGTGCAAACAACTTTGCTGTAGGTGCAAGTCCTGTGCACTGATTCGTCATTGCGCAGAGCTGGACTGGCCTAGCCTTCCAACTTTCAACGGTACTTGTACTTTGGGAAACTGTACGAGCGTAGACCATGGCAGTAAGACCCTGCGGGAAATCGGAGTCAGACATGTCATCATTGAACTCGGCGAACGTGATATTGGTCCTAATATACACAGGCGTGTGTGTGCTGCGGCCCTGCTAAACAGGTATTGCACACGAAGTCCTCAGCGAGAGCAGGTGACGTTGCGAGAAATGTGTGATCGCGCCAATGACATCAGGTACTTTGCTGGTAACTGTCTGGAAGAGCCGTGTTTCAATAGATTCGTCTCTCAGGCTTTCAAGGGTCTCACCTCGGCTGCAGTGCATGAAGGGAATAACTCTTCTTGCGGGTTTCTCACATCCATTCACCAGACCAAGCAAGCATCAAGCAAACAGGTGGCACAAAGCAGAGTACAGTCCTCTAAGATGCACAGTCTCATGCAACCAACTGATGAGATGTCAATCCAGATGTGGCAGGATGCAGTATCATATTTCTGTCCGAAAGGGCAGCCCCATGCGTTTATTCATCAGGAATAATACAAATTTGAGGCAGAAGACTTAAAAAGAAGATCTGCCTGCCAGGACAGCAATTCAATCACTTGAGCTTTTCAAGCGGTTCGTCCACTGACTGCCAGTCCCATACTTATCTCGTGAATTATCGACCAAATACTTACATACCCAACTCACAGTTTACAGAGCTTCCAAATTGCAAAAGTCCTCAACCTTGGGCATCTAACGTCATGTTCAGCGAGACGCTTTCCGATCATGCGTACCTATAGAGAACATCACTTCTTGAACCGACACCCAATGCTCAAAAGCCTGAAAATTACCATCCCAGTAGAAATGGAGGTAATCAGACGTGTACTGCAACCACGACCACAAGTAAAAATCAGCTAAGGGCGTTTCCGTCTGTTCATATGATAGACAAGCAATTGCGTACATTATAGCTGCATTTAGGCTCTTTTGACAAAATTAACAAGTATAGTGTGCAACTGTGATAATTTACATGTGTGAGTTCGTCACCAGCTCTAATGAAACACAGGATACACCTGGGTGCCCGGCCCAGCTACCATTTGTTAGGTACATGTATGTGGACAAGAGTCTCATAGAAATAAGATCCTGGTCCATGCTTAGTCTATATGCACAATGCACTTTGCTATGTTTCAAAAAAGTAGGTCAACCGAACAATCAATCATCCGAGGTTGAGAACACCAATCCCTACTTCTGCAATTAGACAGCAAGATACATAAATGCTGCCCAGCTGACTGACTCTTTGACCAGCAACGATAGAGCTTTTGAGAGGTTCAAAACGAATGATGTATTCACATGAAATATAATCATGGACGTTGTTGCATTGAAGGAAGGAAGACTTTACAATTACATTTGAGTATTAGGAGACGGAGAACCATCATAAGATCTAATGACCTCGACCGTGAAGTCAAGGCTACACTATCTTAATTACAAGTATGATCCACCAACCTGTTCAGGTAAGGAGCAGCTAAGAAGGTACGGGAAAAATCAAGGGATGCAGAGTTCGTAACTCATACAGATTCTCACCCATGAATTCTAAAGTGACTATCTCCACTTGACAGCGATATCTTTTGAAAAGTTCAATCGCCACGCGGGAAACCAATGGGCAGCCGTTCAAGTACAAGCGCTTAAGACGAGGGCAACCGTTCCTAATGTGGAGAATACTCGCATCAGTCAAGCTCCTGCACCGGTTAACGTGAAGGATCTCCAAGTTTTTGCAGTACTGCGATATTGCCCTCCATCCTGCCTCCTTCACGTCCGAACAGACAGCAAGATTCCACTCCTTCAGGGCCTGGCAACCCTTGGCAATCTCAGTCACAGCAACATCATCAAGAGCTCGACATAGCTTGAGATTCAACACCTGAAGGTGTTTGCACAACGTTCCAATGGTAGCGAATCCAGGGGGTCCGAGCTGCTCCGAGCCGCTCCTTGTATGTGAAATATCCAGATACTCAAGTTTATCACATCCTCCGACTGCCAGAGAAAGCCCTTTGTCTGAGAGTTTACAGCAGGATGCATCTAGCCGAACCAGGGATGAACATTTGCTGAAGCCACCTCCCCGAATTTCATAACTATTAGAGATAATCATCTCCTTCAGGTTTAGGCAACCTTGGCCTAGAGCTGATACACCAACATCAGTGATGTTCAGACAATAGGACAGATTCAAAACTTGTAGATTGGGACACGCCCTAGATATGTAATCTAGTCCTATATCACTCACGTTACAGCGGTAAAGGCTCAGAAGTTCTAGACTGGCAAAACCAACAGACCTCAACCCATCATCTGTAATGTTGTAACACCTATCTAAGTACAACTTCTTGAGCTGAGGACACTTGAATTTGAGAATGGATAAGGCGAAATCTGAAAGCTTCACACATCCTGTCAAGGAGATAATATTTACAGCTTGGAAGCGATTCAAGAGACACTCAAGTAGATGATCGTAGCTTTCTTCGTCACAGAAGTGGTGAGGGAGATTTAAAGTGTGACGGAGACAACTCTCGACCTGAAGCCACCGACGGCAAGTACTGCTAAAGGAGTCCCTATCGCCACGGTTTCCAAGCTGATTTGCTATGATCAAGAGACACTCTTCAGGTAGATCCTCAACAGATGTGCTACATCCTTCGCCCTCTGCCATCTTTCTCTAGTGAATCCCCAACTTAGATACGGCAACCACAAAAAGGCATATCCAAAGACGTCAATGTCGGTTCCAACCACACGCCACAAAAGAAGCGCAGAACTGAGGTCTCCGAACTGGCACTGGATGCCTCAAGATGACGGAGGTCCTCGGAAGAAGGGCTTTCTATTGCAGCTGCGAGCAATCGGGGAAGTTTGCTGATGAACTATTCCATTCCAAACGTGGAGGGCTACTGGTTCATCAAGTAGCACCGAATCTCAGGAGTGGTGGTTGACAGTTGACGATTTAAGAGGGCATGCACTTTCTGCAGTTAAGAAGCTGTCACTCTTCTGCAGTCCACATAGAAGATTGACATGAGTCTCAGCAGGGGTAAATTCAACACCAGGAAAACGCAGCTGAGCAGAATCTTGATCAAATTCATGAATGAGAACCAAGCGGCGAATAGTAAACAAGTCCATTGCTGCTAAGGATGGTGAAGAGAAACATGGCATATAAGGAGGGCGGCATAATTCGCAGAGTGAGGTGCAACAAGTCTAGAGGCAAAATCTGAAGTCACTTGCCGCAACTTGTAACACGAGACTTTAAAGGCAGTCTCCAGAGCAGCCCCATAGACATTCGATGAGCCTATAAATATGTACATCAAACTAAACCGTTCGTGCATCCCAGAGAGATTCCTTCTCAGGCAGAAGTGAGAGAGAATGTTTTGTAACGCAAGCTTGTTATTACCTTTTCCATCCGTCATGGAAGGAGAGTAATTTTCGTCAGGTTCCTGATCAGGCTGCAGCGCTCTGATCTTCACCCAGAATCTCTTGTTTCCATAAGAGTTACTGTCTGAATTGGAATCATAACCACTACATCCAACCAGAGAATGTACTCCATCCCCATTGACATAGCCAATAAGTGCGTCACACTGACGGCAAAATAGCTTTGTCCTCAACCGATGCAGCCTCCAAGAAGTCTTGGATTCACAATAAAGGCCACACTTCAGCTCATCGAGCAGCTTAAAGCGGCTTTCATCAAAATTCAGGAAGCAGATCGTGCCCTTCTTGGTTTCCTTATAGTAATTTGCGCCTACTCCCACATTGGATCGGTCTGAGGAGCATAACTTCAAAGGATATCCACATTGCCCACAACTGTCCAAGCAAGAGGGTTCATCAATGTCAGATAAGCTTTAGGCCCGAGCTTCAATTCTAACAAAGTTCGATCCTAGAGAAGGATAAGTCGAGGTGTTGGACACTTCGACTCATGAAGTTGCGTGAAAACGAAACACAAAACACAATCAGGGAGGAGGTACGTGGTCTGTATAGCTGAAGGATGACAGCACTGTGCACGTATGAGTAGATAGATTTTCAGTGAAACTATGAAAGATGCTTCTGTGGTAAAAAAAAAGTCTAAAAGCACTAGATGAATTCGAACCTAAGTGAAGAACACCACCTAGGAAGGAAATCTGAATCTACAGTCAGGCCTTGTGTCTCGTATCTCTATCCACTGATTTCACTCTGCCTAGCGATAGTGCCTTCCGTCAAAATCGGGGCTTCCAAGCTATCATAATTGTCCATCTGAAGCTTTCAGACTCCTGTATGCAACGAGGGCTTCAAATTACACAAAGCGACAGTTATCTCCATCCTAGTGGCGGTTTACAGGGGATGGAAAGAGACCTAAACATTTGAGAAGGCTCTCAGAAGACTCAATTAATGAGGAAATCCTGAAAAGCAAGAAATCCTCGAGTCATTGTTTATAGTATATAACATGTATGTTCCACTACCAAGCGCCCGTCTACAGCTAAAATTATCCTGTCAACGCCAAGAAATGTGCAGAAGGAGCAGTGCAAGTAGAAGAGATAGTGAAGACTTGCTAGTTGAAAACCACATGGCACGAAAATAAAAACTGAATACTGAGGCGAAAAAAGTACCAACATCCTCAAATTGAATAAAACACCAAAAACCAAAAACCCAAAAAAGCCACATCTATGAACACCAGTCTTTTCAGCTACTCGAATGAGCAGTCTCAAGCATCTGCTCTGAACAACATGTCATCGTAGGAGAAGAGCGAAAGGCACCTGTATAAGACCTCCCTATCTGACATCTTCTGCAGAATTCGCTTTGATTCCCGGGACTCGAGAGTAGGAGAGACACTCAAAACTTTGAGCCCTGTTAAATGTCAGCTGGCTTTTCATGTCTCTGCATCCTCCTCTTCTCTCAACTCTCTTCTCTTTTCTAACACTTTCCCTCTCTCGGGCCACCTCATAAACGGCAGCACAATCCCAAAGACTCGCAATCACTCGAATCCCGGAACGAGAAACAATCCCAGATCTGCGCGCTAAAGGACTCAACAGGGTCCACGACGATTCCCCTCTCACGCCGAAACTCCCAGACTCTCCTGATCGATCCTCCGATTCTCGACTCCCTCGACGTCTGCCACCAGCCTGCCTGCCCCCAACGACTACCCAGTCCAATCGCAGGTTCTACAAAGACTACTCCCCGCGGACAAACATTCGGAACTCGTGTTCCACCCCATCACCGAACTCATCCCCAACAACGACAACAACCTCCCCACTCGCAATCAACTCGACGCAGGCAATCCCCGACACCCGGCCCAATTCTTCCTCCGAAATCTCAACGTTCCCTCCAAGGCATTCCCGTCACGCCGAAGTGCCAGCTCCAGAGACAACCCGACTCCGACGTCTCTCCTTCTCAAGACAATGAAAGAGACACCCCTCCCTCTCTCTCTCTCTCTCTCTCTCTCTCCGGGACGGATTCGCTGGCTTTTTCCTCCCTTCCGCACGAGATGCACCAAAATAAGAGTTCTGGGTGTGATTCGCAGGTGTGCAGCTGGAGAGCTCATAAACCCCGAAGCAGCAAGCAGCAGCAGGCGATCAGCCGCATGCGAGAATAAATTTATCGATGCTCGACTCCGGCCAGCCCGCCAGCCCGTCAGCCAGCAAACCAGCCAGCATCGGCGCCTCGGCTAGACGGAATCCTGAGTCCAAACCACCACCGCACCGGCGCAGCAAGAAGCAGCAGGCAGGCAGGCAGCGACGACGACTTGAAGCCGGCTAAAGAAAGGACACAACGGCATCGAGCCTCCCTTTCAGCGCAGGCATTAACGGCACAAATACCCAGCCCCGCTGGGGGGGCACTTGCGGTTGGTCCGGCCGGGGCCACTCTGTTGGCTCTTGGCGGCTTTCACGTGGATCGCGAACGTTTGCAAATGCGAAAGCGATGGTCGCCTGCCCACAGGGGGCGCCGGAATGGAAATCGCGACTCCCTCACTTTTCGCAGAAATAGACGGTATTGTGTTCCGCTGGCTACGTGTGCGCACTTCCGTGACCGGCCCTGACGTTACTCTGACACTGACAGGCTTCACAGCGAATGCCAGCGGATACACGACATGTACCACCTTGCGCCCGCGCACGCCCTCGGTCACCCGGTAACCTTATCTAGCGCTGAGCACTACTATAGCGCACGGTTTTATTATTTTGTACCCTATGGTCCTCCGGTCTCCCAGTGACCGAATGCGTGATGTTCTTCTGTGTTTCCCGTATAAGGACATCGAAGCGTGGCTGTCGTTCAGATGGTGGACAAACTTATAAGAACTTTAGTTCTCTAAATAAAATGGTGACGCGGTTTCGACTTCTGTTACAAGAGTCTGCACCGTGTCGTGTCCATTTGTGTAATTTTCAGAGGTTCATGTTTCCGTAATTTAATTTGGGTTCTTCCTTAGTTGTCTTTCGCACTCAAGTTCCTTGGGGATCAAACTTGCATTTGAGCAAACTTTATATACATGTCTGTAGAAGACTGTGAGTTTGAATCTACAGTCAAGCCCATGGGAAAGGAAGTGATAGTCAAACCCACCAAAAATAGAAACCGAAGACTTAGATAACCAAGGAAACCCCAGATGAATGAAAAAAAAAAAAAAACTCTAAGAGGTCTTCAGTAAGTCACGAGGAAGTTAAGGTTTAGATCTCATATGTGCTTCTGTATGAATATGTATATTTAATTGTACTCAGATATGTCAGAACTGTTATCAAATGTATTTGCCCATTGTTCTTCCTTGAGGTCTTCCCATTTTTTAAATCCACTTGTCCCCTTTCACTTACGGAGTGTTCGGAACTTCTTTCCTATATGGAAATAACACGTGAAGTTATGTATGTACTGTCCACGTGGAAGTAACAGGTGACGAAAGAGGATATACTTGTCGGATGCCAGAAAAGAATTAGACTTTTGGTCAACTCCGCCTCTTTATTTCCAATTTATAGCTCTCTAGCTACCTCTCGTTAACTTCATCTCCTCCTGAGTAATTAAATTGTTGCCTCGAAATAAAGTAAGAAAATATTTTTAATATGAACACAAGAAAACTCATCTAATGAATTCTGAGGTTGATTCTGATTGTTTCGTTTGTCACATTGCAGCAAGAGACCCACTTGAGCAAACCTGCCATGCAGATTCCAAGTTGTTAGACTTAACCTCGCAAGAGTCAGCCTCAACGAAAGAGTCTTGAAAGAACAAGGAGCATCTAACTGCATAAGAGAATAAGAAACTGGTTGAGGTGTCACAGCCATGCATGAGCCTTAACGTGCAAATTTACAAATCTCAAGCTCCTAACAGCACGATGATTCTGATTGAGCTCATGTGTTAGCTTCAAAATCCCTTGAGTCTATGCAGTTGCGAGCTCAAAGACTTACCATTGAGGTTGTATAGTCTCAAGAAATTGCTTAATAGGCTGTACTGTCGGCGAAAAAAAATAAAATAAATGCTAGCGGTTGCAAAAGAAGCTATTGAAGAGATACATGCCGAACAAGAATCAACCAAAGCTGCAGTAAATAACAAAAAATTTCTGATGAAATGTGCAAGGATTTTTGCAAAACACTACAGATAGCTTGCTCCGTCTAGCCATAGATCTGGAAGTTTTTTTGCACATCGATGGAACAAGTCAATAAACGGTGACGATGTTTTCAAAAGTACAAAATTTGGTGATAAGGTGTCGATGTTTTCTCAAACAACTGTCAGTCAGTTGGCGGTGGAAGCAAACTGGCCAGCATGTTCAATCATAGACAATATCATGTTCTGAAGAGTCTGATTTGCAATCAAAGCAAACAAAACTTTTCAAAATATGATGTAGTCTATGATTGACGCGATGGTTTCAAACAAACCTAACCGTGGCAGGATAATCTAACCACGGTGAAAAATCAAATTAGATTCAAAGTGAACATTTTTTTTATCAAACATCGTGTATCTTCTCACAATTGATTTGCATCACATGTTTTCAAATGTTTATCATCTATAATAGTTTAAGCTTGTCTTAAGCCATACTCCAACAACTTTATAGTCTTGACTACAACACAAACTTATTTAAATGATAGATAACACATTAGCAACAATATGCAAAAACCTACCTAATCACAACATCTCCATGCCTCATTTTGCTTTATGTTTATCATTATTTAGATCTAGATTTTTTAAAAAAATTCTCTCATTGCTTGAATTTATTCTTCTAAAGGGTTTTGAATTTAAATCAATGACTAGAACAGTGATTAAAATTTATTTGTTTGAAATGTATTCTTGTTTTGTTTGTGTTAATCTATAAATTTTATAATTAAAAATTTGATTTTATAGTATATTTTTTGTGTGATCATGATAAAATTATGCAAAACTTGGCAATATACCTCATATATTATATTCATATTATACTTATTTCATACATATAAGTTATTTTTCAATTTAAGATTCATTTATATTTTAAGAAATTTTGAGATCTGATTGGATATTAATTCCCATTTGTATGAATGTGTGATGATTTCAATTACCTAGGTCAAAGATATTTCAAATTTATAGTTGACTATCAAATATTATTTGATGATTTTTTTTAATGATGTCATATGCACATAAATACATTGAATCACTTGTGATTGCTTCACAAATATTTTGATAAAATGATTTGTTTTAAAAATGTTTTTGAATACCCAACTTCAAAATTAATTTAAAAAATCATTTTTATTTCAGAAAGTAAGTTTTTTGTTTCACTTAAATTGAAATCAGTATCGGAAGATCATGAATTTTTTTTAATGATTGATAAAAAAATTTTCCAAATTTAATTTCTTCAAAGTATAAATAAAAATAAAAATTAGATTTTATTTTTTTAAAAAAAATTAAAAATATATATATTTATCTCACTACATGAAAAAAATATATTTTTTAATCATTTTTTTGTTCATGTATATATAACACATAACAAATCTGTTATAAAGATGAAAATGTATGATTTATCCTGAATGAAATATATTTAAATGTTTATTATGAATATTTTCAATGCTATCTTCATAATATTTTACTATGATTATTAAATTTAAATTTTTAAAATAATAAAAGATTTTAATTTTTACTTATATCTAAAAATAAATGAAATTATGTTTTCATCAAATATAATTGTATCAATTTTTATTTTAAATTTTTCTTAGTATTCCAGAAAATAATTCTGAACATCCTGAAAATAATTGTCTACCAAGTGATTGATATCAATGTTGCGTTCTTAAAAAAATTTATTAAGTTTTTAGTTTGTTCCTAAAATGGATCATTTGCGTTCGTATCATACATTTATTGCATTTTTTATCTCATCAATTTTAATTTTTATTCACTTACAAAATATTTTAATATCATGATTTTTTTTAATACAACATGTATGTTAATTTTCAATCACTATCACGATAAAGTCCAAAAATTCACCCCTAACAAGTAATGTTTTCATGATATTACCTATTTATACCATTGAATACTTTCACAAATTTTTTTATTTCTATTCAAGGCCGAAGACTCCTTAGGAGAGTCTTCGGCCTTAAGGTCTCCTGCCCCTAAGACCCAGGAACTTTTCAGTATCTGCCCGCAGGGCCGGAGTTCCCTCGTTTTTTCGTTTTTTATTCTTTGAGCTTGTCTAGGCAGCGAAATCGTTCAAACAGCGGAGCAACCCGACAAATACGAGATCATTCTATGCCCTGTCACCAATTTCCAATAAAGCCCCAGAAGCCGTTGGTAAAGGACCAACTCTGCTATGAATCCTGCGAGTAGAGTAGATGATGATCGATGTTGTCGAAGTATGAAATATTTTGTGTAAAATCTTTCTACATAATGTTAAAAGTAGATCAGAATATTTGTAATTTTATTTCTTCCAAAAGTTGTAAAAATTTAATTAGGATGATCTACAAAATTGTACTAATTGTGTTGTAAAAAGTGCATACAGTTGATCAAAATGTATGTTTAAAATATAATTTCAGTATTTATTAAATATAATTATGTATCAGATTTAATATTCTAAAATTTGATAAAAGATGTTTATTTTGATTGTATATAATAATCAATATATGTATTCTTTGTAATAAATATGCTCATTTATAATGTTTGTGATTATATTCGTCTCTTTAAAACTTAAAATTACATAACCATGTGCTAATTTCAAGATGTTTATATTCCTATTTAACTAAAATCTTTGGTGAAAATATTTAGCTAAACATTTGAATAGTACGAAAAAACTAATTATGTGAGTTGGCAAATTATTCTAAGTGTACTTTTAACTCATAGACATTCTCAATCAACTAATGTTACATACTATTATCAATCTTTGTCAAGAGGGGGTCGGCTTCAACATTCAACGGAATTGCAGTCATTGACAAGCCCACCTCTTCAGGTATAGTTCTTACAGAGTGATTTATAAATACGAGGGCCAAAATAAAATGAAATGAAAAGGGATGCGTGAGTCAGTAATTCTCCAAGATCCGACGATACTGTGTCGGAATTCCGAGAGGAGCATTTCCGAGGGTGCAAGTGTGAGCAGATGATTGAGTAGGCGGTGCAACGAAGGCAGAGCTTCCAGTCGCTCGAAGGCGCCACCGCACCGCGCTCGGATGAGATCATCCAGCTCTGCAATTGTACTTTTCCGGTCGATCGAGTACGTGTTCATCGGTTCTCGGGCTGCTGTAATCTGATCGAAAACAGCAGCGCGAGCAAATTGGTTGCGGGGTGTGATTGGGTGGAAATCCGTGGGTCGCGGGTCGGGGACAGTAGCGGAATGGAATGGAGATGCTTGCAATTTGCAGATTAAAGTATTAAGTGCTACTTGATGTGGAAGCCCGAGCGATCGCGCTAAGTTCTCGCACAGAATAACGATGAAAGGCTGGCCCCTCAAGCGTGCTGGGCTCATTGGCCAGAGGTTCGGAAGTCAGTTAATGTAAAAGCTGCTCTCCCACGATTGCCTCGTGCTTGCGGTGGGGATTCTGTTGCTCGATGGTGGAGCGAGTTGTTCCTGGTTGCATGCCATTCAGGAGTTGAGGTTTTCGAGGAATGGTGAATGGTCGGCTCCAAGTGACTGAAGCGGTTGATTGCTGATACGTCCGCGGCATGGGGTCTGCTCTCTCTTCTACGGTGGGATACGACGCTTCCTCATTTTTCACATCGCCTTGCCTTGACTTGAATTTGCTGGAGATTGTCGAACGTCATTTTTTAGGGGGCTTTGTGGCATTGCGTTCTAGGTACTTGGTCTGTTTCATGAGGCTTAGGATCGGCGTCTATTCTTCAATTCCCAGTATCTTTGTTGTGATTTGTACTCTGGTTCTAGTTCTCCTGAAGGGAGCTCTTTTCTTCCTGCAGCATGAGATGTTGTAGATTCCTTAGGTTTAATGTAACGTTTAACCTCGGCCTCATTAGCTGTCAGTGCAATTTGCCTTTGCGATATGAACTGGTCCAGTGATTGCTGTTGTTTACCGGAGTTTTGCTGCTTTTGCTGGTTCCATCTCTTATGGGAATTTTAGTGTATCGGCCTCAAAATTCGATTGGAACTCGACGGGTTATGGATATGTGGTACTGTCAGAGATCAGTCTTCATGCAATTTTGTTAGGAGTGATAGCCTTCAGAGGTTTTCATGTCTGCCTTCAGTGTGAATGAAAGTCGGAAAGTTCAGCTTCGTGAAGTGCATTGAAACATTGACAGGTCATGGATATGAGCAACTTTTAGAGAACAACCTTCATGCCAATTTGTGAAAAAATTACGTTTGCTTGGATCTGACGTCCGCCATTCTTATATCTCAGCTGCTCCAAGCCTGTCGGGGATGCATACATCATACTGGTCAAGCATGCTTACGTTAAGGACAGAGCTGGTTGTTCTTTCTGTAGATGATGTCTTTTTTCTTAGCCCAAGTTGTAATATTGTATCGGTGAGCAGTTGTTACTCTGCTTAATAGTGGAAGATATGTAGTTCTTGATGTCATACATTCTGTGATAGACAGTACATCAGCTCACTAGGAACAGTTGCTATCTTATTTCCTCAACAGGATTATGAAGAAGATGACACAAAAGGCAGAAATGAGTCGGTGGACCCCGTCTTGGAGAAGCTTCGAGATCTCCATGTTGTAGGTTTTCGAGTTATTTTTTTATCCTTGTTTTTGTGTAGGATTGCCTTATGTCTTGCATGCGCACTGTCTTAGCTGTTCACTTGTTATATTGTGCACAGATATCTAGATCCGACCATCTGTAAGTTGTTGTACCAGGATAAAGTATTGAACCTTCGAGGCATCTACTGTCTCCAGATACGTCAGAAACCGACTTTTACAGTGAAAAGTGTATACCAGTTAGGCTGTCCGACTACCATCTTTTCTTCATATAGTTCCTCGTATTCTTTGTGTGTTTAGATCAGATTAGTCCCCAGGGAGCAATGTAAACAGTGACTCGTTGAAACTTAACACTCTCATGGTTACTTAACAGCAACTGACCTGAATGACCTTGGGATTCTATCTGACCATGGCATTGCTTGTAGATAGCTTGTATAAATGTCGTAAAGTTCTTCCAGTGAACTTTGGAAGCTGCCTGTGGTCGTAAGCAGTTTCGAGAGATATTTCTAAGTATCTGGGATGCATATTATGGTCCTTCCTGCTTACTCATCTCACCAAATCTTGAACATTGTGCTTGAAGTAATAGTATATGCTGTCTTTTGATTGTCCTGCCTCGGTGTGAGTAACTCTCTTTGTCCATACGCTGTTGATGGCACAGGTTACGCCAATTTTGAAGACTCCAACAGGGGACAGCAGTCTCACAGACATACTCCTAAGGCGTACTCCTTCACAGTCAACTTCCGGTGAGAACGATGTTCGATGTAACCTGTAGCATCTCTTCATAAAGATCACCCCATCACGTAGAGACCATTGAAGACAGGAAAAGAAGGGAAGAGTGGTTTTAAACGATACGTGTTTGAATTGCATGAATCTTCAATTCTATATCTTTATTACTGGCTACCGTGTCACCAGTTTTTGGATAAGTAGTGTTCAACCCGAATGGGGAGTTTATATATTAAATGGACTACATAGACATGATGATTACCTCTATGAAGTACATACATTTGCAATTTGTTTTTGTAAATAGGGTGTGAAGTGTCCCTTAGACGTTGTTGTTTAGTTCTCCGCAACCATTCCATACTTCGATTTATGGGATTTTATCTAAATATGTAATCTGTGCTCAACGTTAGAAGTAATCATCAATCTAAACTCCGAAATCCAAGTTTGAAGACTTGGTTACTTTCTTCAAATTGACTCGTTCTCACGGAACGTTGCCCTCAGCCTAGGTTACTTTGTAGGTGTAGAAACCATAGCTGGTCTTTAAATGTCTGTTGAGTTCGAAAGTAACAAAAGTCGTCCGTGAATGCGCTTTCTGCGACAATGTCATAGGTCTCAGATCTTTGAGGTGTTATTTAGATGGTAGTACTCTCAATGCTCTTGTGCTCACTCCTTAGCTGATACCTCAACAAGGAAGGATCACAAACTGACGGTTTGTGATCCTTGCTTGCTTGAACGGGGAACAGAATATTCTTTCTATCCAACTTGTTTTTGGAAGTTTTGTTGTGTCATTCAGCTTGGATACGGACAAAAGTCGTTAGCATACTAATATGTCCGCTTATTTGTGTACTCTATGTTTTGTAGAACCATTTTTTGATACACGCTTTTTCTATTACAGAAGCTTTGGACCCTACAACTACAGCAAAACTGTTCGCTGTATATCAAGAATGGCAGCGAGTTACAGCTGCGAACATCGCTAAAAATCAGGTATGGTTGTTTTCACAAGCTATAAATCATTAGATTCTGTGTATTTATGTTTGGTTTGGCTAGGTTGAGAGGGGTGGTTTTTTTTAGTCACGCCACCAAGATATAATTTCATTATAGATAGAGTTTCTTAGATAATCTCTATTTTTAGGTGGCTTGCCTAACACGTTCAGTGAAACTGTGCGTATAGTCCAGTTTATGATCCCTGGATACCAATCAGTTTATTTCGCCCATGTGTGGCCGTTTTCTTGTTATGTCAATGAAGTTTTTGGAAAGAATTAACTCCTTGGGAACCGCAGAAAATCGTTACGTCTCCCCTCACGTAACTTTCGTGCTATTCACAATTCACCTGGATAATCAGTAAAGTCACATGTTCTGCATGTTTGGTTCAGCTGATGATGCTTCGGACCTTTAGTTAGATAACCGGGGCGTGAGACCATGCTGTAATGGTTGTGCATGTGACACGTGAGCATCTTGTTTTTGAGAACGATTTTCCTACCTGCTCTTGTCTTCCAAGTGGTACGAGCAGGATTGGATCGGAAATTGAACACCTGACAACTGCCTTTTTCGGAGTTCTTTTGGCGAAGAGCATGTTTGACCAATTGCAGGAGTTTCAGTTTTGTTTAACCACTGTTTTTCACGCTACTAGCCTCTACATTTGGCATTGTACAAAGAACCAGAAAATGATTCTTGTTACGCTTGTCCATCCATCGTATTTTTTGTCCAGATGTTTTGGAATGCCGATAATAGTTGACCTAACATGCCTTTCGAAAGTCATTCATACAGCGGTGTACGAATTCCTGAGTCATCGTTTAGTTGAAGTGCATATGTGTGAACCATCCGTAGCTGTATTTGAAGCCAAAACACCTCGTCATACTTGGTAGTTTATCTATACACAGGAGACCACGTGTCGATATGTTTGTGTTGTCTTTGACCTGTCGCTCGAAGTTTCTCAACGGAGTATATATGTCGTTGATCACATGATGTTCGTATTTTTTTTTCCGAATCTTTTATTGCATACCATCTCTAAGAACAGCAATATAACGCGTACCGGTCAAATTTTGTTGATAGTCATTGGAGTACTGTCTGATCGCTCGTAGACCTGACTTATACAGTGGTGACAAGTAAGTTTGCTATATGGAAGATATAGCGACCTCTATACTGTCCGTTATAGAGGTCCCTAGATCCTCTATACTGAACGCGTACTTGCCACCATTGTCACTTCAAAAATGAGGGACCGCAGTTTATTCCACCGTATTACGAATTCTGACCTCTTCGATTTCCTGCATTAGTTTGTCTTGACTTCTTGCTATGTAGTACATTTCGTCGTCCCATTTGAGACGAACACCTAGATTTGTATTGCTTCTGTCGGTTACATGCTAGGGCCTTGCGGCTGCTCATGCACTTTTTAATCTGTAGAGAAGTTTCTCGTGACTCTGACTTTATGTTAATACCTCAATATACGATCTGGAGAATCACATGGTCTTTTCTGATATCTTGAGGTTTGTTGTTGACTAGGCTCGTCGTTTGACCGATTCAATCGGGTGATCTCTTGTTCTGTTCCGATATACCGCTCTTGACATGTCTCGTATTGGTCATCCTAGTGCAATCCACACAAGAAGGTTTTGTTAGAAAATGTTTTAGCTACTTTATCATTCTGAGCAAAGGGTCACCTTGAGCTTTGTCGACTTGTTTGATTCATGGACCGATCAATGTCTGGCTCGTTCAATTACTAGATCCTTCATCCTTGAAAGACCACGGCTGGAGGAGGGAGGAGACATAGGTCTCTTAGATTATATGCGCTTTTAACACAGATTAAGCACTAATGAAGAATCTTGTGTTGGAACTGATGCGTAGTTGCGCATCCAGGATCTATACTATTCTTGTCTCTGCCCGGGAGTGAGGAGCAAAGACACTCACTTTGGTCAAAGTTGATGAGAACCCAGCCGTGAGGATCATTTGTGAATTGAACATTGATCATCTCTCCCTTTGTTGTCAATGAGTAGCATTGGTTCCTTGTTGCTGGTAATGTGGATAATCCTGCACTTTATATAACGTGTCTAGATTTAATCTAACATCCAAGGTATGTTTGAAACAATATTCATGAGGTCAAATTCTCAATATAATACTCTCCACTTCGAAGAAAACTTCGACTCAAAGTCAATTGGATCGTTATACTATCCACAATTCGAGGATTTAAATAGTTCGTAGGTGTCATCAATAGATGAAATATCATCAGTAACATTGAACTTTTAAAATCTAACAACAACATACATAAGTTCAGTATCAACTTTGAGTCTGCACACAAACCCAAAACCTTAAGTCGTGGTAAGGGTGATTTGTTAGTTACAAAAATAGCCGCAAGGAGATACCCCTGAAGCAAGTGATTATTTAGTTTATAAATGAATATCGATCCCGACGAAAAATGAAGTTGGTTGTTATCATGTGAATCCCATACTTTGATAGTGAGCTTAATTCACAACACTTGCACTCAGTAAAGAGATAGAGATATACCTATCTCCCTTTTACACTTCCTTTGTTTATCTTTTGAGAGTTATCATTAGCTTACCAGCAGTCACGGCCTCATGTGGAAAATATATTAGTCCAATTTTGTGTAATCCGTCTATCTCCTCAACAAATTTTCTACGCATAGAGATATGCTTCTTAGTAAATTGACGATTGAAGTTTATTGTGAATGCAGTGACCATTGTTTCACACATCACTGGTGTTGGAGCTTCTTGAACAAATCTAGTTCACTCATAAAATCATGGGCTAAATCAGCTTCTACATAGTTAGTGATGTTTGCTTCCCCAACTAGTAGCTCCACCAATAAGACTAAGTAGATCACTATTAGTGGATATACTGTTGTCCAGATTCTTATCCCAACTAGCATCATAAAAACCTTTGAGTATTAGTAGATTAAAAATTTATACATTACAAAGACAACCCTAGGGTGCCTTTCAGGTGTCCTAGTACTTTCTGGATATATCTTTAATCTGTTGGATTTGGACAAATAGTTACGTGGCTGGAGCTCCCAAGGGAGTTATTTTAGTCTTGTACAAACTATAGTAAACATATATGAAACTAGGGCACTCATATGAGAGCATTGTTCATTAGTTTCCTTGCCAATATCATTTTCTTCTTATGTAATCATAACCATGTTGCAAAAAGGAATAGAAACAAGTGTTGCATCTTCCGTCCCGTACCCATGTACAACCCTGTCATTATATTTGGTTTGGCTACACTAAATCCATCTTCCTTTTTAGATATCAGTCAATGTGGAGTGTCAACGAAAACTTGACATGGTCGACTGCGAGTATCTGAAGAGTGAAGCAAAGTGCTTTTCACCACTCTTATTACATTCCCCATCAACCATAAATCTTCCACTTAGATTCCTGTGTAAAGTTATTGATTATTACACTTAAGTTTGAGTGTGCTCTCTTGAAGCCTTCCATACTAAGATAAGCATAAAGTTTCGGGTACCAATTCCTGGGGTTTTTGTTTCTATCCATATGAAATCTTCACAAACAAGTAGACTTTCCCATTTGAGGTGGAGTAACCATAATTGTACATACCTTGACACTGGAGCAAAGCTTCATTGTAATGAACATCAGATTTTTGACTGTACCCCTTGGGTACAATCAAAAGTCTTGGTGTGTACTTCAAAAACTCATAAGCAGTACATTTCTGCAACTTGAAGCCCCATTTCCATTGAATAATACATCATCATATTTGAAGATCTACGTATGCCCAGGTGCAATTTTTATGGGAATTTTTTTTCTGCGTACTTTTTTTCTCAAGTATGGTTTGGTCCTATTTATTACCATCTGATCCTCTTGCTGCTTTATCGACATAAGATAAAAATTTATCATCTACAGAAACAGTTGTGAATCCCTCTATTTCAATATCATTTTGTTGATATATTTATCTCTATTTTAAACAATCTCCAAAGTATGAACTTGATAATTTTGTCCAATGATAATCTGAGCAATTTCTCTCTCTTTGAAAATATTATCATAAATTTTTACCTGTTTTTGAGACGTGAGCATTGCCGTGTGTATCATGCTTTCTTATCCTTCATTTGAAAAAGCTCTAATGGAGATCAGGTAGTCGATCTACCTCTTCTCCCAAGTCTACTTAAGGTGCTATATTCTCTCATCAGATTACGTATCTTTTGAATACCATTGTGTGCTTTTAACGATACTCCATTTTTACTATTATCGGCACTTGTTAGTGGTAAAACATAAATTTTGAAACCAACAAAGCGTTACTTTTGGTGTGATCTTTATTCCATCACTGTTTCTGTAAGTTGTTTCTTCATCAAAGAACATATCATCGAAGCATAATGTATGATTACTTCCCAAAAAGTTAGCATGCTTCTTGGGTTGAAAAATTGTACGCAGTCATTCTTTCTTAATAGCGAATGAAGATAAACCTTTTATCTTTCAATCCAAGTTTGGTTTATTCGGAAATGAGCATATGGTGTACAACCAAACACCCTCAAGATCGTAAGATCAAGTTACTTCCCACACCGTGCTTCCTCTGTTGTCATTTTGTCCACTCTTGTTTCGGGATTTCAAACTTTAGATAGTTGACAACCTTGATAGCTGCACCCCTAAAATGTTTTTCAAGCTTAGCATGTTCTGAAATGCTCAATGCCTTCTCTTGTTCTGTTCTATACTATCTGTCAGCATTTTCATTTTGCTAGGGATTATCATCGACTGCCACGTCTGACACCAACCCCTTGCTTTTTAAGAAGCAGCAAATTCCATTTTACACCCAATTCCTCCATCAGATGTAAGTTTTCTCACATTCTTCCCAGTACGAGTTTCAACAAGTATGAGAAAAAATTTCGATTATACAGATACATTGTTTAGCAATAAGTACATAAATTGTTCTTTACTCTTGTCATCTTTGAAAGTTGAAAGAAATTATGCACCTTGTAAGGACTATTGAGATATCTTACCATACACATCTCAATTTATTTATATATTCCAACAGCTTCTTAGATCAATGATTTCTTGCGGAAAGATGCCTCGAGTGATTTTTTTGAGCATAAGCATCATCTACCATATGTTCCTTTTGGTAGGTGACCCAAGTATGTCATAATTCTATCCACTTTTTTTATCTTCATCTTTATATGATGTATAAATCTTCTCATATTTCTTGCTTTTCACAAGCAAAATGAAGCAAAGTTATCAATGATTGAGTGGAAACTTAAATATTGGTAATAAATTTCACATCGATTGAGTCGGCCGCAGTTGGTTCTTGCTGAAAATTCGTTCGGTACTGTATTACTTCTTGTTTTGTCTTGCACGGGGTTTGGGACTTTCAATTCTTTCCCTGTCAAGCAAATATAGTTTTGATTTGTCACAGCTATAACCGGTTCACATAATAAATGAAGCTGGCAAGTTCATCCTGAAAAGGAAGATGGTGGGATTTGCTGACATTGCGGCTGGTTCTGGACTCTGAGTACGCTTTCTCTTTGACTGTCCTTTCCTAAAGACACTAGACTTCTCGATGGAGAACATATCAGTACCTGTTTGAACTCCCCTAGGGTGCTAGCTTGCTGCAAAACGATTATCAAGCTCGTCTTTGTTTACATGTTTACACTTTGGTTACGATAGGATTAAGGCTACCCAGGCTGCTCTCGTTTGTACTTCTCAGTGTCATAACCCTTCCGGTTTATCTTTGGATTTTCATCTCATTCACTTCTTATGTGTCTTTATCATTGGAATCTTGTTTTACTCGCACCGTGCATAGTTGCTACTGCTCTCTACAGATATAGCAACAATGTCCACAACAAATAATAAGTTCACGCGTGCATGCAACGAGCTCTATTTACACCATTTTCTCTTTTGCAATAGGTTTAAGTACAATCGAGACTTATTGTTGAATGCTTTTGTATATTGCGGTAGTTACCATCTCCACTTGTGTACGGTATATTTATACCCCCCCTGCCAAGGCATAAATTTTTCTACCGTGTTCAACACCTGCATGTGAGCTGAGCAAGAGGATTTCACTCTGGAAGCTCCATCACGTTGAAGCTTGAATATGTTTCTACAAATATGAGACTCTTGTTCGGATCTTGGATGTTTGGTTCACGGTTTGCGAGCTGAGCACGAAGATAGATTTGGAGATCTATTCTGAACTTCTGTATTTCTTGTATGCACTATTGCTCGAATGGGTGCTCTTAATCACTAACAAGGTCTTTTCAACAAGTTTTGACATCGTACTAAAGTTGTCATCTAACCTAATCTCAAGACATATGTCGTACAATTACTGCTTTTAAAATATCGTCTCACCATATACGCACGGACTTTTTAGCAACAGCAATCAATAATACATTATTTATTGTCTTACATAATAGGCAGGACTACTTTACGAAGTATTTCAAAAAGTTTTCTAATTTTTTCATCGTTTAAGCTATTTCAAATGCACTATACGAGTTTATTTATCTGGACGCCAGGAAGCCGTAAGGAGCAAATATTGTCTTGTTTTCTTCTTTCAAATGATACTTCTGATGCTCGAAATACATTATACTCATGCCCAACGTAAGCTTAAACCTATTTCGGGAGACCAGAATAATCCGAGGTTTGAGGTTACATGTATGATCCTTATGACATGTGGCTGGATTTTTTATTCTTTTTTTGGGTTGACGTATTATTATTGCGCCATATAAGCGAAGAGGATTATATTCTGCTCGGTCTTTTAAGAGTTCTAGTACTTATATCGCACCTCAGCAGCGGGTACAGAAGAAGTTATTACTCACGTTGCAGGTTGCAGGTTTCAGATTGGCTCTAGTTTAACCGTGTCAGTGAAATGACAAGCTGTTCTGTTTCGGCTTTGATTATGTATCTTGAGGTGATAGTGTTCATAGAATCTGACTTTGACCCCTGAATACCACTTCAGTGACAAATTCTCGAGTCGAATATAGTCATCTGTTTGACCATACTCAGGAACTTCTAAATTTGAATCGCTTGAGCACACTGCGTCCTCTTCTGGTCCTTCTGTGGAGAAATTGGCTTCATAAAATATTCGAAAATTCCGGTCCAGGATTTTTAGAAGGCGACGTCAGCTGGGAACTTCGAATTGTTCTGAAAGGATGCTTGGCAAACGAATGAGTAGTGCTATGTGCATCAATCTGATACTTTGGGTTCAATCTTTAACTTCCGAAAGTGTCGTGTTGACCTTTCTCTGGCAGGAAGAGTTAGGGCACAAGATTATCGGTGTAGAAGAGCTGTCTTTGAAGCTTCTCCAGAGGTTGATGTACGCGGGCCGTGTCATGGAGTCCAGTGCTGCCCATTTAAAGTCTGGTATGGAACTCCTCACTTTTCTTTTTTAGCCTTTTCAGAGAAGACGAGTTATGAAGTTTACTTGAAAATCAGCTGTCTTTTGGTGAAGGCTTATAAGGCAAAAGTCCCAGTGGTATCATTTCTCCCAGTCCTGTACGCCGCCTAGCTCTACCTAGCAGCAGTAGTTGGATGTAGTAAAACTAGGCTTTGCGGGCCGTTTATATAAGACAGGCCGACTTGTATAAGTGCTGTGTCCAATCCCTTCGTTGTGGTTGACTTGGGTTGCTTTGGTGTCCAGTGCATGCTCTGCAGGTGGAAGTCACAGATATGAAGCGGACTCTGACAGAAACAATAAGTAACTACGAGAAACTCTGTCAGAAAGTCGAGACTATGGGGCTACACAAGAGAAATATCAAACCAATGTCAATCAGTAGTCAGTCGCAGTTTGGATCACAAGATGTACGAGCCAAAACTCTCTCTCTGCCACAGTTGACTACTGAAACCTCTTCAGAGCAGATCTAAGTGCAACTGGTCACTGGAAATTGTTAATGTCGACGTTTAGTTCTGGCAGCACGAGTTCCGCGTAAAGACGTCCTTTCCTGAATCTTAGTCATTAGTGGTGGATAGTGACGAATTGTCTCATCCATAGGATGTAAACCAGCTCGCATTGGGGTCAACTAGCTCATAAGAATCTGAACGGTACCTACAGAGCTCAAGGGTAATCATTACTCGGCATTTGCGATGGTTAAGACTTCTTCTATTGTACAGTCCAGCGCTAAGAAATCTATTCATCTGTCCAACGAGGGACCTGTGCACCTGGTACGTAAATCAGGTTGACTTTTTTTGTGTTATTATGTAACGGCTGCAGTTCCCGTATCTCACAGAGTCCCATACCTGAGCTCTTTGGAAGTATTTACCCCAGGCCTGACGTAGGCCTATCAGGCCTGAAGGATTTATGCTGGTGTGGTTTCGGTGAGTAAGCTCAGACGGCAGTCGGTAACACTCCCTAACGTGCTCGTTTCATCAGTGCAAGTTGTCACTCCTTCAGTCCAATCGAACTCCAGGGGGACGGGCATATCCCAAAAAGTTTGCAATAAACCGAGTACGAGGTCAAAGCCCATGAAATGAAAGCATCAAGCGCGAAGATGGCATGGGCTGGACAACGCTGTAATGACTGTACCGGTAGAAAGCCGTCTCTCTCACGAAGCACACAGCGAAGCGTCCTTTCCCGCCCCGTCCCGCGATTTGAACTCTATTCCGTGTGCATGACGCGAACGCATACGCCCACGGATTACGTAGCCTTCATGCAGAGGATAGTGCATCATGCTGAGGTCGGGAATAAAGCGTTTGCTTCATATCCAGGTAGTTTGCACCTCCCGGGGGTTCGATCTAGGCCCCGGACCCGGACTGACTTGAACGAGCTCCATCTGTGACCGCACGTACGGTCATTGCCACAAATATCCGAGTGCGGTCAACCCGTCAAAGTCTAGTAAGCTGTAAATGATTGCCCGGCCACTTCTCATGTTAAGCCCAGAGTCCAGAGCCAAAACTCCAGTGTCTCCATGGCCAAGTGAGGGTGACGGGAGGTAATTCGTTGCGCTTCATGCAATGTTGCACGAGTCCCAACTTCCTGTAAGGAAGCTATGTGTCTGAGGGCGGTAGAGGAGGACGGCCAGTAACTGCTGTCACTGTGGAGGTGCACGCGTGTCGTACTCTGGCTTGTGGAGAAGCGTATTGATTGCCCACTGGAGAAGGTACGACACGGTACAGTACACGGAGTCGAGTCGGAGTAGCTCCAGGATCTGAGGAGCTGGAGCTGGGAACTGGAAGATGCGCAGAGCGGGCCGTCGTCGTCGTCCAGTATGGAGTGGATGAAGGGCGACAACCGACCATCTGTAGGACACTGTAGGACAGGACTGATAGGACGAGGAGTGAGGAGGAGTGAGTGTGTGCATGGCTGGTGATGCTCTCTGTGTGTCTGTGTCTCGAGACCAGAGACCTTTGAGTACGAGCTGCGATTCAGCTGGACATTCCAGTTTCCAACTGTCAGGGGCACTGGAATCTACGCCGCCAGACATTCCTCTGACAATGATGCCGAGGTGTTTTCTGATATTTGACCTGCGAGCCGGTGACTCCATGAACCGTTGCTTTTGAGTAGAGTGAGTGACTTAGTGAGAGAGAGAGATCAGTCTCAGTTCTGACGGTCGGTTTCGCCTGCCGAGTTCTTCTGCATCATCCGGCTGGGCTCCACATGACGGGTCCGGGAGTTGACCCCGTTTACTCGGCCCTTAACCAGCCCACCAAATTCCATGGTCGGTGTGACGGTGGATCGCTTCCTTTGGTGGCGCCACCAGATCCTCTTCCTTCACCTCCAACCTTGCCCAACTCAAATGCGTGCTATGCTCACGATTTACAATTACAATTCTTTATCTCGTTGGTCCTCTTCGAGACGTCTCCTTCAATTCCCTTCTACCCTTTTCATCACACAAAAAGTGAATACTAGAGAGAGAGAGAGAGAGAGAGTTATGAGAGGAATTTGGGACGAGACTCCCAAATGGTAATCTTGTCCATCGAAGTAGGCTTATAATTTAAGATTGACCTTCTTGAAGTTCAGCTTAAGCTCGAATAATCATGAAATCATATTCCCCCAAACGAGGACAGGAGGAGTCCGAGCTCTTTTCTCTCGTGCGGAGAATCCTCTCTCGATCTCTAAATTCTTCAAACTCATGGGACCGATTTATTCTCACGAGAGAAGTGCAAGGCTAAGGGCAAGGCTAAGGGTAAGGGAAGGAGAAGGAGATGGAGGAACCGGAGTTTAGAGTCTCGGTTAGACTTTTAGGACACTGATCGCCCGGTCCAGCCACGAAGGTCGAGCAGGCAGAAGACTCTTGAGGTTCGTCATCATTCCGGTGATCAGACCCACGGGACGCTTGAATCCGTCAAAGGAAAGGAGGTCAGAGCGGTACGGCAAAGTAATTATCAGATCTACCAAAAGTCGCTTTCGTCGATCTCAGAGACGCAGACACAGACACAGATAGAGATATCGAGAGAGAGAGAGACAGGACGACGAGCACAGTCCCCGAATGAAAGCTCTCGTCTCATCTCGTCTCGTCGCCGCGCGCCCCCTTTCCGAGAGATAATGTCCAAAAAGCGGCACGGGAGGATTCCTCAACCGCCGGATCGATTCGTCGAGTCCAGGGCCTTGGAGTGGAGTGCATTCGAGCACCGAACGAAGAAGGGCCGTCCTCTGCTCATCCTCGTCCTGACAGAGCCTGAAATGCTCACGCTTATGCCCCCTCCGCCTTCCCCCTTCCCCAGGCGGGCACGAGAACGAAAAGACGGCCGCTGCGGCTGCTGTTGCTTTGGAAGGTTCCCGGGGGCTGCCACGACGTCACCGTCTGCGGGGGTCGCCCAATCACGAATCGAAAGTGCTTCTGCTGGACCGATGGACGGACGGATTCCGAGGGCGACGACATTCAGGAATTCCGCAGGTCGCCTTTCGTTCCCTGCGGGTCCCACAGCGCGGCAGAGATTCCCCCGGCCTCACCGCCCATCGGCCTCATACCCGGCCCGGCCCTACCCGGACGATGGGCGGACGCGACAACCCCCCGCCGCTGGCCGAGGGCTGGGCCGGGCTCGTGGCTCGGCCCTGCCCGGCCCGGTCAACGGAAAGCGATGCGAGGTCAAAGCGAACGATTGTTTCGAACTGGAGCGTGCAGAGAATCTTTGGCGCGAGAGAGAGAGAGAGAGAGAGAGCTCCGGTTCTTACGGCCCCCTGGGTTGCGGGTCGGGATGAGGGCGTCGGCCCGAATGATGCGAAGCCTCCTTTCTCATTTCCTTGGCAAGATTCTCGAGATTCCCATCATTCCCCCAAAGCCAGTTTGGCACATCACCCGCTTTTGGATTCTCATTTTGTTTCAGTCGACTCGTATCCCATTAAGATGCCGATTCGCGATGGATCCGCACGGTGGACAGTGACTTTGGATTTGGCGATAACTTTTTCTCTCTTCTGCGTCTTGAGTTCATAGATTGATAACATATAGACCACTATAAAAGAACTCGAGTAAGGTCCCCAAAAAAATGAAAAACCTATAGATATGCGTATATTATTGAGATGATTCACAAGTTTCAAATTACAATTGTCAAATCCACCACACCTGTTGGACTTTATATAATTAAAAGAAGAAGACGATAAATCTATTTTTGTGAATATCTTTCATTACTTTGAAGAAAATTTCTTTTAAATTTTGGAAAAGGAGCTACATAGAAATTTTTTTTAAGTGAAATGTGCGAAATGAAATGTCATGTATTACAATTCTCTCTTTATGCTAACAATGATTTTCATTTCATTTCTCAATACATCTAAAATAGCGCTTGAGAAAACATGTCACATGACGCAGGACACATGTTGATGATGAATCAAAGATTTATCATGGACTCTATATTTCATAAAGGTAAATCCATATATTATACATTTTAAAAAATATTATGAGTACATCTTCGAGCATGCAATCATCAAGACGTAACATTTTGAGATCTAGTTATGTCATGAGTTTCATAACAAGACTACACCGATTACAACATTAAAATTAATCTGCTTCCCTATCATCCTTCTGTTGAATATATTCAAATATTTGTCATGAAAGATAAAACATATTAATGTTTATTTTTTTTCCCAGATTATTTATATGTGATTGAATGACATGTTTTACTTTGCTTCTTGCTATGGATGACATATGAATCATTACAAAGATTCTTGCAACGTCTTTGCAAGTTGTGATAAAAGTGTTTGCAGTAAGAAGACAAGTTGGGAGCGTGTGGAGAGGGTGCAAAAGATCTTCTTACAAGAAGAGTTAGGTGTAAGGAACCAAACTCCTTATGCTATTTTTCTTGCGAAAACAAGTTCTCTACCTTTTGAGGCTGAAGCTCTCTACTTGACCATCACTTATATTAGAAGGGTGAGATCTCTTGATGCTTCTCGACTTACTCTTCATGCTTTGCGTGCCATACGTTACAAGGGATGGTTTGCAGATGTGATGACTTGGTCTTTGAGGTGGAATGTGACGGAATTGGATTGAGATCTGCAACCTATGGCCCGTTGCGAGCGTATAAAGGAGGAGTTTCTCAACATCATTTGGAGGACAGGAGACATTAAAATGCAGTTTTATCAAGTTCATGTGAATCCTATGCTTATTTATTGTGAGCAAGGGTACCTTGTTGCAGAGATCGTTACATCTTTACGTCATATTATTGCCAGGCATAGAACAGGATCTCATAGGCTTGGAATTGAGGAAGGACGTTGGTTGAATATTGATAACAGTGAACGGATTTGTAGGCTATGTGATGGGAGAAGTGTTGAGGATGAAAAACATGTGTTTATTACTTGTACTAGATATATAGAGATTCAAGTGGCGCATAAAGTTGATGTCAAGAATTTCTATTCTCTGCTTCAGCTCAAGCCTTATGATTTAGGTTGTTACATTAGAGATATTATTAGTTACCGTTCTAGTGCTTTGGGCACTAGCTAGGGGGTTCTTTTGGTTCTCTCCTAGTTTGGAGTTGGATTGTTTGTATTGTGTTTTTTAGCCTTTTGACCCTTTAGGTCCCACGGACTTGATCTATTTACCATTTACCATGATATTGTTCTTAAAACCAACAATTCGAGAACATTATGATTCATGCATGTCTAAGTCATCATAGCATGAACGTGCAAATTTTAATCAATAAATATTATATGTCTAAATTTCATGTGCTAGCATATTATTTTTCATTGAAAATAATGATCATCTATCTTTCAAAAGCTTTGAGATACTGGTGGTTCCTTCACAATTCTCACTTCATTTGTATCAAACTTTGATGGAATAGATATTTT